GAATAGAATAGAATAGAATAGAATAGAATAGAATAGAATAGAATAGAATACTTTATTGGCCAAGTGTGATTGGACACACAAGGAATTTGTCTTGGTGTAAATACTCTCAGTATACATAAAAGAAAAGATAAAAGGAAACAGTCACTATAAATCGTAAATATACAAGCAACAAAGTTACAGTCATACAGTCACAAGTGGGAGGGGATGGGTGATAAGGAGTGATGGCAAGATTAACAATAGTGCAGACTTTGTAATAATTGAACAGGGTTGAGGGAATTATTTGTTTAGCAGAGTGATGGCTTTTGGGAAAAAAATGTTCTTGCATCTAGTTGTTCTGGTGTGCAATGCTCTATAGCATTGTTTTGAGGGAAGGAGTTGAAGCAGTTTATGTCCAGGATGTGAGGGGTCTGTAAATATTTTCACAGCCCTCTTTTTGACTTGTGCAGTATACAGGTCCTCAATTGAAGGCAGGTGGGTAGTAAATGAATAAACAGAATAAGGTTCTGTCCTCATTAGCTCTCCAATACCATGGAGTAAGGGATGGGGAAACCTACAATTTGTCTTTAATATATAACAATACTTAATATATAAAGAATTATGGGCATAACATAGGGTACCAGTGTTGCTAATTCTTCCACTTGGGCCTTCCGTAATTTTACAATGGTGAATGATTCCAGAAATTTACAGCTGGTTATGGTTTCTTTTATGAAATAGTCCAGTGTTTGAGCTAGCTTTTAGAAAGTCATGGACTTTGCTAAGGAGAAATGAGAACCACCAACGAAATTTAAAGTCAATATTTACACACGTTGTGTCTGCCCCCTGACTGGCAAACAGCTTATTTACAGCAGGCTGGGCCATAACAAAAACCCTAGCCATTTGTTCAAGCCTTCATTTTATTTAATTAAGATAAGCTGGCACACACTTTGTCCTTTGCAGCAGGAGTCCCCAACTACCGGGCCCCGGACCGGTACCGGTCCGTGGATCATTTTGTACCGGGCCACAAAGAATGAAAGCCTACTTTGCTTCAGTGCTGCCATCTTGTTTTGGTGGCACTTGAGAAAGTGCTTCCGGGTGAGCTTGTCGGTCATTGGTTGGAAAGCGGCATTTGGGTGCTGAAGGAATCCTTGTGCCTTAGTTTCGTCAAAGGGGGGGGGCTTCGAACGAAGAGCCATCCCAATGGTGGTGGAGTCTCACGTTACTCAGGAGGAGATTAAGAAAGAGCCCAAAAAGCCCATTGACCGCAAGAAGGTATAAAAGGAGGAGTTGAAGGTGGCGGGGAGAAGCGGGGGACAGCTGGCCGGCCGGTCGCTCGGCTCGCCTTGCCTTGGTCATTTTGTACCGGGCTGCAAAGAATGAATAATCGTGAAACTGGTCCCTGGTACAAAAAAGGTTGGGGACCACTGCTTTGCAGCATGAGAGCTGTCAACTTTGTTGTCCCTCCACTTACCTTTTTCTTATTTATTCCCTTTTAAGTTACAGTGGGGGAAAAAAACATTTGTGGGACTTTTCCTCACTTTATTTCATTTGATATTAACAAGTGATAAACCTTCCTCTGATGTCACAACATAACAGGTTGTGCAGTTATTTCTTGGCATTTCTGTTTTTTCCATTCTTATTGAGGGGTTAGTAGGACATCTCTTGCTGCTTGGTTGCATTTATTGCTTTTCACCTCAACTTGACTCACGACTGCACTGGTGCCAAAAGGAGGGCTTAAATATTAGGGCTGCAAATTTTCTTCAGGGTTGTTGCTTCAGCTGGTGCCCCAACAAAACTAAAAGGACTGATTCCCAGTCAAACAGGAAATGAACAGTATGATGTAGTGCAGTCTTGGGCACAGTTTCCTAGGAAATAGGATACAGTGCATTAATAGGATTTACTTTTCACCAACTATACTTAGCATTTGGACTTTGCAATTAGCATTTGGACTTTGCAAGGGCTTTTTAAAAAAGCATTTACTGAAAAGTGGTGTAGGAGTTAGTAATTCCATTCACAAACTCGAACCTTTGGTATACTGTACTCATTTGGCAATTGCTCTGTCCTTCACTTGAACTTTGAGCACTGACCCAGGATTTGACAACTGGTACATCAAGGCAAAAAAATCAAGTGGTTTCAATCAGTCATATCAGGTCCATGATCACAAATATTAGTTAGAATCCCTTGTGCAATTGAAATAAATGGAAATTAAGATGTTTATACTCCATGAAGGAAATGTGCTATTGCGCATGGGATGCTTTGCATGGGTTGTGACTACCCTAAGTGCTCATGGCTATCCCAAATACAGTCATCGAATGTTGATACTTACCACTTCAGCAGCGGTGTTTCTGGTTAAACATACTGAGATTAAATAAGTTAGTTTACCAAATAAACTTACCAAGTAAGAGACATCAGTTAGCATCTTTTGGCCAAGAGAGATCAATCAGTTGATGCGCCCTTGAGCCACAGCTAAATTAGCCAAAACAATCTGTTCAGATGCTAAGCACATCATAAAATATAATACAAGCAAACATATAGTTATGTAAAATAGTGAGATCAGTATATTGTACATTATAAGCAACAATGCCCTACCTAAATCTTCGGAAGGGCAACTGTCTTGGTCAGGATCACTCTGAGATAACATGTTACTCGAAGAAAGTCTCAGATGGCATTTCCTCTGGAAACTGACCAAGCAATGTTGGCATGAAGCAGAAATGCCTGGTAGAGAAGCAATAACTAAATAAATAATGAATAATTTGCTGCTCTGTTCAAGAAGGATATCTCATTGACTAATTATGAGGTAGGCATTGTCTAGAGCCATCTTAGCTTTAGGTTCAAGCACTAAGGAATTTGCATTTGGTTAAGATATGATACTGTTTGTTCATGAAGAAATGACCCCATAGCTTAACAGAAAAGTCCTGGCTGTATCACCTGGGGGTGGTTTTGTTTAAAGAGAAAAAGAGAGATTTGATAACATCTGAATAGAAAACCAAGATCTTAATTATTCACCAGTACTTCATTCTTGGCAGAAGGAAAATTAGTGAAATTTGATTTCCTTGATTTTTTTTTTAAATTATGACAACATAAATCTATTTTTCATCACAGGAAAATAGCAGAGTAGTTACCCCCATTTATGTTTCCATTTTTATCTCAGAAAAGAATAAGCCCATACTAACTCAACATCTATGTATTTGATTATTGTTTCCTATCAGACAGTCTTATGAGTCCAATCTCCTAGATTGGCTATGCTTCAACCAAAAAATTAAAAAGACCAAAACTGCTCACTAGTGTCATCTACACCAAATTGTAGGCAATGCAAAGCTCCATGTTGGCTAATCCCTAGATGTTGATAAAGTTGGTAAGAACTATCTGGTTTAATCACTTACTACTGACAAAGAATAAAGATGGTGAGGAATGAGATCATGTTTAAATCCAAAATTCTACCACAGGGCCAGAGGTGTTTCAGACTTTGTGTAGTCATTTGGAGGTATCTGCCAGAACAAGTGTATCCACCACAAACAAAAATTAAAATCAAAATTAAGAAATCTCTCACATACTATATACACTGGAAAGGGTTTTTTTTTAAAAAAAAAACTCTAGTGTTTTATGAGGAACAACTATGGAAAGAGTTCATGCATACAGGGTGGTAAAAGTCCAGTGTTTTTCAATCTTGGCAACTTTAAGATGTGTAGACTTCAACTCTTAGAACTCTTCAGCCAGTATGAAGTTGAAGAGCACATGTCTTAAAGTTGCCAAGTTTGAAAAACACTGGTCTAGAAAAAAATAATACAAATAAATGTTCATGTGTTCATTTGTAAGGAAACACCACTGAACTCAAGAAGATTGGCTTCTAAGGTCTTTTTCCTCATCTTTCCACTCAAACGCATAGTTTCCGGAACAATGCTGCTAAGAAAAAGAATATGTTTGTTTGTTAGATTTTTATCCTATTATTATTTTTTAAATAACTCCACATAGAAATATACTTAATACTCCTTTCACTTTCAATTTTCCCCAACAACAACCATCGTATGAGATGGGTTGGGCTGAGAGAGAGTAACTGGTGCAACTTCTCTTCATGCCTAAGGCAGAATTAGAACTCAGAGTCTCTTGCCTTCTAGGCCAGCACTTTAATCACTACACCAAACTGGCTCGATTATATTAAAACTTAATATAATCTGAGAAAAGAGTATCCTGAACAGGGGATTCTTGACTATTCTATTTTTGGAAAATCACATAATTGTTAGTTGTTAGTTTTTATACTCTGTCCTGTCCTACCTAGGTTCAGACCTCACATTAAGCTATGATTTGTTTAATAAACCATAGTCATCTGGTATATTTATAAACAACAACAGGTATCCTTAGGTTACAGTGGCAATTGGGAATGAAATTTCCATAGCTGAACAACGTGGTCGTAAAGTGTGACATTACATGAACACATTGCTTCGCAACAGCAATACCAGAAGTCTTGTTTCTGTCATTAAGTGAGGACCTCACAGGTTCATTTAATATTGGTATACCTAGGCTTGTTTAGATGAGCATGAGTTCGAGTTTGAGCAACAGCGTGTCTCCAAATGACCCGAAATAGAAGAGGGTTCCTTACTTGGAAATCTGCAGGGCAGAGTTTAGAATTCACTAGGAAATAAGATGAAATAAACCCATCTATAACCGAGGCCTGATTAATGGTTTTTTTCTTTAATATCCTTGGAATATATAAGTGAGTTAGGAGACTGAGCTGTGTGGGTAGCAACTTATCTAAAACCCAAATCTGGTACATTGGGGAAAAAACACCAACCGACAGATGAGAGAAAGGAATACAGATAAATGAGCCAGCTCAGATGATAGTTTCAGAATGAAATCTCCATCCCATCCTTTAAACTTACACTAGCATTGAAGGAAGTCTAGC